TGCCGGCCGGGGCAGGGCGCCCCCTCCGCCTGCCTCCCGCTTCCTCCTCCGCCGCCTGCCCGCCGCCGCCGCCGCCTCCACCATTGTATAATGCTTCGGGCGCGCCGGCAGAGGACGGCGGAGTCTTAGCTTCGGTCTCGCCTCCTGCCTGCTCCCCGGCGCCACCCTCGGGCCCCCAGAGCGGGGCGTTCCGCATGGAGCGGGAATAGCTTGAGGAGTGGGCGGAAACCCCTCCTGATGCGTTAGTTCCCAGGTGGAGCTGCATGTGGTAAGTTCTCCTGGCGCCGGACTGGAGGCGACCCTCGGGTGCGCGGCGCTCCGGGTGGGTGGGGGACGGTGCTGGGACTCGACCAGGGCCGGGAGAGCCCGGAGGGCGGAGGAGGAGCCGGGCGCCACCGCGGGAGGGACCCGGGGCTGGAGCAGGTACGAGGAGGAGCGCTGCTTCCCGACCCCGCGCCCTTGGATCCCCGGAGCGAGGGCGAGAGACCCCCGGCGTCCGCTGGCACATCTGCTGGGGGAAGGGCAGGGGCCGGGCAGTCACAGTCCGGGGTCAGGAGGGGGTCGGGAGCTAATGAGAGCCGAGTGGTGGGGCGGAGGGAGCTTGGAGCTGTCGCCTTTTACAGCTGGGATGTGTATGCGTGTTGTGGCGGTGGTTGTGTTGTGAACGTGGAAGACTTTTTTTTTAAGGCTCAGATTGCTGGCGCGAAGGCTACTTTTGAGTTCCGCGGCCGGGTCTGCATCCAACTTGTTATAGTGTGTTTTTGGAGTTTCTTCTGTTTTTGTTAGAAACGTCCGTCTCTGCCTTCTTTTCGTCCATGCCCAAGTGAATTGATTTTGGAACTATCTGTATATTAAACTTAACGTATCGTTGGTTTTTAAGTTAGAAATCTACAAGTCATCTTCGTGGTAACTGCCTGTGCCTGGAAGGGAGGGGGCTGAGGGGAGCCAGCTGTCCCAAACCCTAGACTGTGTGCCATTAAGACGGGCTGCGTGCAGAGGATCATTGCATCGAGAGAGAGTCATAAGTGGTTCTTATTTTCCTTTTCCATAAATTATATTACCTTCAGCCGGAGTGGTAGTAATAGTATGAGATGGGAGTCGAGTTTTAGGTTTAATTTTAAGTTTCACAAAAAGATTAGAGACGGTTTGTCTTAGAACAACTTTTTGCTTGCAAGCTGGGTAGTTTCAAGATGTTTCAGGAGGTAGAAAGTAAGTTTTTACAGACACTTAACGGGGAAGGGCAATCCGCAGGGTGAGACATTCAGCCTCAGACTACAGCAGTTTTTATTTGAATCGAATTGGGTAGCCCCAGTTAGTTGGTCTTAAGGAAGAGAGTAAATGTTTTCAAGCTTTGTTTATGAAATATGCTTTTTGATTTCCCAATATATGTTAAGAAATGTCCATAATGTGTGTAAGGAGCCTACAAGTTGTACTCACAAGTAGGATTACTGAGGCCTTAAGTGCTCAAAGTAGTTTTTCGTAATTAGGGACTAGTTCCTGACAAGAGTGAAGTGGGCTCTTCGTGCCACTCAACCCCTGGAGGACGGTCCACCTGAGAGTGTCTGGGTTGTTTTGCTGATGGGGGGTGGGGTAGTTGCTCAGCTCACCAGAAGGTATGTCTCACCCTAGCAGCTCCCATTTCTCCCCCTTTTTATAGCAGTCTGTTCTGATTTGAGTGTGCTAGGGTGTGCTGTGAGGATGAAAATACCCATCCTAAGATCCCTACTTCTGGTGCGAGCAAGAATAGCTTGTTTGTGGATCTCTGCTTTCCTGTTCGTTTTATCAATTTCTTCATTTAAAAAAAAAAAAGACATCTTTAGAAGTTTCTCTTTAGCTTCATCGACTTACCTTGTTTGTGGATCTCTGCTTTCCTGTTCGTTTTATCAATTTCTTCATTTAAAAAAAAAAAAAAAAGACATCTTTAGAAGTTTCTCTTTAGCTTCATCGACTTAGTTAGAGGTATTATGTGTTAATATAAAATTGTCGATGTTCATCAAGTTTGGAATCCTCTAAAATAATTTAATTTCCCCCTCCTCTTAATTAAGATGTACATAACCATGTTGCTCTCGGGTGAGAAATCTTATTAAATGGATTTGAAGTCCCCCACCCCCCTTAAAAACACCTGGCTCTCTTCCTTACTTCATTATGACAGGTAGGGGAGAGGACTCACATTTTATAATGCCAACCAAGTGTACAACAGGAGATGTCCTAGAGAACAGTTTTATTGTCAGCAGAGTGTCACAGCTTCTTAGGTAACAGCTGCTCAGGCTGTTTTCCCTTAAAGAACTGAGAGATATTAACTCAGACTTAGAAAATCTTTACACTTCTGTTTGCTTAATTGTCCCCCTTTAAAGCTTATTGAGAAGCTGAAATACAACTTTTACCCAGTTACTACACACTGAATTATTATTAATAATGAGCATAGAAAAAATAGCATATATTTTGATATTTTATAACTCACTCAAATATGCGTGGCAACTGATAGCTTATGGGATTCACGATTTTAAACAGTGCTCCAATGGCAGAGCAAAAGTTATAACACTACTTTAGAAAGGTGAGTGTGTGCTCATGCACGCATACACGCATACACACACACCCCTCAGATAAAATTTTTAAAAATATGATGGGAGGTTTAAGATGTCCGAATGCCAATTCATAAAAATAGCTTCTATCAATAAATAAAGTTGCATACTACAAATGATGAGTATCTGGTTACACTATAAGTTTACCCTCAGTTGAAATATGTTATTCTTACTTTAGTACTAAGAAAGGTAAAAGCTACAACAAAACTTTAGAGGTTTCTTTTGCTGTGGTTTCTTGTTAAAGAGCATTGGTAAAAGTATGAAGCTTTATTTTATATTTCATTTATATCAGCAGAATCAAGACCATTTTGTCAATATTATGTATAGATAAAATATGTGTAGATAAATACAGCGCTTAGAAGTGTGAAAAATTTAGAGTTTTTAAAACTTTGTAGCCAGAGGACTTTTATATTTACTGTCATGGCATATTCTATAGGAGGTAGCTCTAGCTGCAAAAGTTTCTTGGCAAGAGAAAAGAAAAATTTAGAGTTTTTAAAACTTTGTAGCCAGAGGACTTTTATATTTACTGTCATGGCATGTTCTATAGGAGGTAGCTCTAGCTGCAAAAGTTTCTTGGCAAGAGAAAAAAAGAGAGAGAGGGCCAGCGAGCGAGCACGAGCCCTATCTCTGATTACTGAGTCCAAAGATCAGGTGTATGCTAAAGACACCAGAGGGCAAGCTCCAGTTTAAGTGAAAATGGCCACAGAATAAGGGTAACAACCAGCACTCGTAGGTCTTTGTGTTAATTAATACTGACTAGCAGAACATGAAAATCTAAAAATGCTGTAGTCACTGTATGTGCACAAACCATATATTTTCTACCTACCTACCATTAATAATTATTCCTTAAACAATTGATAGAAATCCACAAGTCAGGACTCCTGTTTGAAAAGTACGAATATGTGGATATTTAATTTAGTTTTAATATTTTTGAAGGAAATAGCTACTGACCAAAGTTGGCATATCTTTTTAAAAATAATTATTGTCTCAAATCGCCAGTGCAGTTGGCATTAAAGACAAACTTCTGCCCTGTGTGCAGATGCTGGGAAACCCTTATGAACAGAACAGTCCCCTGGAGTGTCCATCACTCACTGTGTAGAGTAGTGTCTTTCTCCATTAGCACTGTGTGGCAGTTCGTTCTTTGTATGATCTGTGAATGGCATATGTCAGCCCAATAAGACGACATTCCTATTCTGGGTAATAAATAGATGCCTTGTTTTTACTTCTTTTCAAAGATCATGAGACAAACAAAACATGCTTAGCTGTCTAAAAATTTCCTTTGAAATAAAAATAAAAATTACAAAATAAACCCATCACAATATCTTTTTAAATGTATGATTTCTAATAGGACAAAACAGATCGTCATAATTTCAGTAAGCACCACATACAGACGATGCAAACTCTCTTTTGGAAATTTTGGTCTTTGTGGTCTGAGGAGTCTTAAAGCTAGAAAGACACATTTGACTCTTCTCAGGATCTTCTCTCCCTCATCTGAACTTAATTGGAAACACCGTCCAGATTTCACTGAAGCAAACCCCATAATTTGATTGATTTAGAAACCCAGGATCATCTAAGCTGAATTCTGTCCTCATTGCAGAGTTCAGTTCAGAAATGGAGTCGACATCTATGCTCTTTCTAGCCTCTCTTACACTTGCACGCTGTCTGGCCAGAGCTGGCCCTGCTTGTCAGCAGAGGCGGCAGAATGAGGGGTGAGTGGCGAGTGGACTGAGCTATGCGGATGCGTGGGGTGGGGGCTGGAGGGAGGAGAACGGAGGACAGAGCTGGAACTGACTGTGCAACTGCTATAGCAGGTCTGACTAGTTTGAGGTGCCGAAAGGCAGCTTTGTTTCTCTAGTAACTCCAGGTAGCAGCAAACTTAAGTTCTTAAAACTCATTCATGTCTGCATTACTATCTTTTTGTCACTTTGCAAAAATCCGTAGCTTTGCAGAATTACTAATTTTAAGCTTTTTTCCTTTAAAAACCTTCATAGGAAGTTAACTGAAAAGAAGCTAAACCAAGCATTTTAATACTTCTAAGGAGTTTCACGTAGAATAAATAGTGAAGGGGAAGGGACTCTGGCTCTTATGGACATGATATATGTATACACACTCACACTCATATTTACAGTGTGCTGTGTGAACCTGTTGAATAAAAAGTAAAATGTACACTTGAATATGCCATGGTCAAAAAGATTGAGTCATGAAAAGTCCCTTGCTGCAGATTAGTCTTCAGCCCTTTGCTCTCCTCTGCTCTGCCTTCTTATCACTCCACCCCATGCCACAGCTCCTGGGGCTTGGAGCTGGCCTGCTGGCGTACCCCACCCTTGTGTTTAGAAATGTCTGCTGAGTTAAACTTAGGGAATCTGAGAGTCCCAAGGTCATCTCTACACCAGAACAGGTTTGCATAAAATTCTAGCTAATGAGATAAGAGGTTGCAACTGTTTTAAACTGATCTTCCCTGAGGTTATCCCATTTTACAATAGGTGTTACGGATTTGTTTTTCAGATTTTTTTCCTTTTTTGAGGGGGGTCCTGTGTCTGTGTGTACTTCTGTGTCTTCCATGCTGTCATAGAAAACCAATCTGGCAGAGGAATTTGGGCACAAAAGCAGCAGCAGCAGAATTTTTGCTCTGCCTCTCTGCTTGTCAGGAACCTGGTGGTGATGGTCTTTTCTGAACAGCTTTTAG